TGGTGGCTTGGAAGAGGGGACAGGAACAGTGGCTGGATATTCATGACCTCTTGAAGGCAGAGCTTATAACACTTACTGAGGAACCCAAAGTGTGACACGAGAAAGACAGGACTCAAGGAAAGATGCCAAGGGTTTTGGTCTGAACATCTGGGAAAATGGAGCTCCAATTAACTGAACCGGGGCAGGTCTGAGAGAAATCACAGTTCAGTTCCAGGCATATTGAATGATTCAACCAGAGGTTCTCACAGTGCGGCCTGGGGACCCCTGGGGTACCCTGAGGCTCTTCCAGGGTTCTGTGGTCAAAACTCTTTTCCTGCTGTGGCCAGAGCTGACTCCAGATTCTTGCTCAAAAGCTGCCAACCCCTCCCTTGAACAGGAACTAACATGTCTCTTTGAGTCACAGGGTCCCAAGACAAAGGAACGAAGCGACATGAAGAGAAAAACAAAACCCAGCTAGAACCAAGATGGCAACGAATCTGACCTTCAACAGACCCGGAGTCTCATCTACGTTGTCTTTACTGCATCAGCTACTAAGTGACATACCTACCAGCGGCCATGACCGGAAGTTGCCGACCAAAAAAGGACAGAAAAAGGGTGGCAGCCCATTTCAGGGAAACCCCGCCCCTTCCCCCAGAAGGGCAATGCAAATGCCTCCCCATCATCAGCCTTGCTCCTCCCCACACTGTCCTTATTCTTTAAAATCAAATCCCTCTCGCCACGTGAGCGTGAGTGAGAGGCTGACCTGTGAAGTGAATTCCCACTTCTCCATTCTTTGGCCATTGAATAAAGCTTGCATTGCACCGATCTCGGCTTCAGCTTGGGTTTTGGCTGTGTGAACCCTAACGGACAAGAACCTTCCCTGCGAAGGCAGAGGGTCTGGCTGGGCTATAGGACCAGAGGAGGGGACCACAGCACCTAATCTGTTAACACTGAGGCCATCTGCCTTTTTCATTCTTACTCTCTCACGAGTATACAGTATTTTCTAGAGGCTTCGTGACATGACGACAGCATCAGTCTAACAGTTAATGGAATGTGCGTTTCCGTATCGCTTTTAAAATATAATTTCTAATATACAATTAATAAATATAACCCACATAAACAAAATCTCTCTGGGTCCTCAGCAATTTAAGAGGGTAAGGAAGTTCTTAGACCAAAGAGTTTGAGAACCACTGTATCAGACACTCGGACACATCTGACTGTAGGAGGCCAGGGCTGGAGATGTAAATTGGCAGCATTTTCACAGAAATGAGTTATGAGACTGAATGGAATTACTGAGGGAGGAAGAGTAGGAAGAAACTCTTTTCTTACTGCTTCTCAGAGATCCTGCTTCTGAGCCTGGAGGCACTCCAACATTCTCAAGTTAGGGAGACCAGGAAGAACCCGCGAGAGACCGAGAGCCCCAGGAGGCAGGAGGGGGTCTCAGGCAGAGGCTGTGGGCTGGAGCTCCCACGGGACTTCAGCCGCAGGCAGCACAGCGTGCTGGGAGGGGCAGTGTGACCTGGAGCAGAGGCGCTGTGGCCCAGGGAGCCACCACCGTGCTACAAGGCAGCAGCACGTGGCCTCTCCACTGACTTCACCACTTTCGAATTTTAACATTTCTCTCTTTTTCACCCTGCATTTTTAAACGATTTAACTGGGTTGGAATGATGAATGCAAACAGACCTAAACCAAGCCCTTGAAATACTGTATCTGAATGACAATATTATGGCTACATGAAAGGATTACACCTTAAAAATCCACAAACTTCTGAAGATTCATATCATAGCATCAGGCTGAAACTGATGTTGAAACAGACTTTCTATTCAACCCAGAGACAACAAAGACACTATTTCCCGACAGAAATTCCGGAATCCTCAAACAAGATTTCTATGAGCTCTAAGGAACAGCATGTAAAACTAACAGAAAGCTTCAATGAGGGGCACATTTTTGGAGTTTTGAGGGGAAAGAAACCCCGTGTATCCAGAAAAAACTAGGCAGATTACCCGTCGCAATGCACTTGAGGAACCACCCCCGACAAACTGCGTCCTCACCTAAGGAACTGCCAGGTTTGATGGGTCAGACCAGGCACTGAGAAGGGAGAACCGGAAGTGTCCTTAATGCTAAGGCCTTCAGAGGTAGAACTCGGGTGTGCATATTTCTCTTTTAAGGAAGAAACCTGGATTTCAGAGTTTGGGCTTTGTTCTTTGGAAGCACTGCAATCAATTCCCTTACAGGTGCTCGGTTGTACTCGTGCCTCTAGCGACCAGGCAACTCCTACTTCCATCACAAGCTGACTTGCTGTTGAACAAGCAGACACCCAGTGGACATCCGCTGTGCTCACCTGTCTGCTCCGTCTCCTGGTCTCAGCACCTAAGTTTTCCTTTGGGGAACCACTCCTCTACCCCCTCCTAGATGGGCCTCATCTGACCCAACAGCTATTATTATTAAGTCCCTATCAGGGCAGTGTGTCCCTCAGGTTCAAGGATGTGTAGACAGCCTGAGTTTTGCTGCAACCATTGTGGACGAGGTGTTTCTTTCATTGCAGTGAAGCTGAGACATAAACCTAGGCTTTGTGACCATCTTTGTAATCCTATCTGATTAGAACCAACCCAGAAGGAAGCAGAGCGAGAGACAGATCCCCAATAGCATTCCATCAGCTATAGGTTCTACACACCTTCTCAACCGGCATTTGCCCAAATTCCCGGACAAACCACCTGGGATGCGTTTAATAGTTCACCTGGCCTCTCCCCTACAAGTTCTGATTCCTGGATCTGGTCTGGAGCCCAGGAGTCTATGTTATTTCAAAGCAAAGAAGGTCACGTTTAACATTCCATTTGGGAACCACTGCCTAGGATGACTTGAGAAAGCCAGTCAATAACCCTTTTTGGCTTAAATTAATTTGAGGCTTTTTTGGTCCCTCGCAAACAGAAGTCTTTATGATATAGTGAGGGTCTTTTGAATACTGCAACTTTCCCTGAATTACCACATTTATGAATTTTTCATAGTTTTAAAGATATTAAAGCCTTTCAACTTTAAAGGATAGTTTAAAACCTGCCAAGTATGAGACTTTAATGACTTAAGTTACTGACTAGCCCTAAAAATCCATAAATAAAAGATGCCCCAAATCAAGCTTTTACAGTTGTATAATTAGACTTCCTTATGTTCCTTAATACTGTGACAACATTTGGCAACTTTCATCGATTTTATTGTCTTTATTTGGCATTCTTCTGAAACGTCACAATCTCCTGTGTTTCATTCCTCCTAACGTCTAGAAATCAAATAGGTTAAGGAACCTCGGCTAATAGCCAAAAACAATGTTAACAACAGTTATTAGCTCAAAGAACTAAAGGGAAAATAAAATGGTTTTCACTCATAATATGTTAAAAAGGCTAAATCCAAAAGGCAGTTATTTGATAAGAACAAGCACAATAATGGTAAGACAAGTAACTTTACTGAATGGCATTAGTTGAAATCATAGTTCCTGTAGCTCGTGTATGATCATTAAGGTTTACACTCATTACACTTGCAAGCAATGTTTAAAGGTGTTCTCATGGCATACAATCACTCATTAACTTCGAACCTGCTCTTTGCAAAATTCCCTGAAAAGTCCTACAAGTGTGTAGATGTGAATTATTACAATTATCAACTTCACAAAAACACAGACTTCTTAGTCTGCATTTTCTTACAAGTTAAGGATTTCCAGTCTTATACTGTTAATTTTGAGGTTGCAGCATTTCCTGACAGTTTTACTCTGAAGTTCATAAGTAACACAAATTTAGCTTTTATAAATGGAATTGTGTCCTTTGAGTGTACTCTCCAGCAGTTTTAAAAAATATAATAAATGGAAAGAAAATGCATAGGCTTTCAGTAAAAACAAAAACTACACTGTTATATTCAAATAAGATGACAATCACTGCAATTTTATTTTATAACAAATGGAATGATGTCCCAGTTGCAAAAAAAAAAAAAGTAATGTTTATATAGACTACTGGCCTCTTTTATTAAGGAGTCTTAAAATGTATCTTTGGACAGTAATTTAAAACTTTCAACTATCTTTTTTTTTTTTTTTTTTTTTT